TATGAAGGCCAGGCTCAGGGAGATAAGCGTTTTCTTAGTTCACCGAAAGAGCGTGGGAACTGATTTTGCATTGTCTCTTGGAGTTCCTTGGGCTAAACCTGACAACCAGTGATTAATAATTCTGCCCTTCTATAACAGCCTTTTAAACAAACCACGAACAGGGGCAGGCAGTTATGTTTCTATGCTGATTTTTTTAAAATTGAAAGGAAGGACAATCTTGGAAGGAGAAAGGGGATAATATTTCTCCTTTTTCACCTTTCGTTAGATTTAAGCTGGACAGGCTGTTCCTGATTAGGAGGAGGGTCAACAAAGCCAGTGTAAGGAGAAGCAGAAAAGGACAGGCTGGTGGGGGCAGGATGGAAAGAATGCTGGGTTGGAGGGGAATCAATAGGAGGCGCTGTGCAACTGGATGCCTGTGTTGGAGAGAAGAAAGCACAAAAGCATTAGACAGGTAGGAGGGGAATAGCAAGGAGAACACATTGCAAATACTCTGGAGCAGGTCTCCTCTCATAGTACCATAAGACTGTTATCTTTGCTGCAACAGACTAATGCAACCATATCTCTGAAGATTGCAACTCTATTCAAGAGCTAACAACGTTATTGTTTCAAACATAACTGTGGATTTGCTGTTGCTTTCATGCTTACTGTCTTAATTAAGTTTGTTAACACTTCTTCCCTTGGAAAGTGAGAAAAGTAATAGAGAATTTATTTCCACAATAGATGCTTCCTAGGCATTCTCACTGCTGAAAACAGTCATGGTCCAGCAGAATGATATTTTGAGTCTTCCCATATCATACTAACAACATTCAATATTGGGTCAATTCAGCTAGGGTCTAATTTAATAATTATACATTGCTTTGAACAGCCATGGTTATCTTTCTCAAGAAAGTCATCTTATTTTTTTTCATAGCAGAGCTTTAAATAGCTGCAAGACAGGGACATTAAATAGGCACGGCTTCTAACACCTTCACTTTCTTCAAATTCTACTTACTGAATTTCTGCCTTGATAACCAAGTATAAAAGAACAAAACACTCACTGGGGGAAAACAGGGACCCAAGTCCCAAGTTACCTGGGTCTAATAACTATCAGTCAAAATTACTGTGCAGTGTTTAATGCAGCACTTGAGATTTCCAGAACTGAGGACTAGCATAACCCATAGACCGTGTAGTCCTCCAGGTACAGGATGTGTTCCTGGTGGATTCTGCCCTCTGCCAAAGAATCTGAGAGATGGAACTAAGTGCCACAGCTGGGGCTGGTTAGTCTTGGTTTATACAACATGCTTAGCCAGTTTAAGGGTTGGGCTGAAGTGTAGAGCAGCTGAAAAAGCAAGATGCTCCATAGCAGAATTTACTACCAAGACTGCAGTCTCAGGACATGCTTGTTATATTTTCTGAACACAAATGAGCTATAGTGCCAAGTCATGTTAATCGCTGCCTTTTTAGCAAATGGGGAAGGGCTCACTGGGTAAAGAAGCTTCTAGCACAGAAGCCTTGCAGTACTTGAATGGGGGCTCTGTATTCTCCAAAATGGGAGTTCTTGAGCCAGTTATTGGAATGGGATGATGCCAGATCCAATGGAAAGGAAGTATGACTGGGGATAGTTGCTAACTAGGTTAAAAATATTGGGTGAATCAGACTCTTGACACTGGATTGGGGAGCATGTCTGGCAAGTGCTGTCCTACCTCTCCTATGAATTTGGATATTCATGTGTTTGAATATCCAAATAGATCACCAGGATAAGACTTTGCATCCACCCACAGATGCTTAAAAAGCCAAAGAGAGAGAGAGAGAGAGAGAGAGAGAGAATGAGAATAGATACAGCATCAGGAGCATACTTGTGCATGCATAAATATTTAGAGGGAAGGCAATTTCTTCCTTATTGGTCAAAATAAAGTTTTATGCAAAAGAAATTAGCTGTTCCATCTATTCCTATTTGGGATATATTTTGCTTGTGTCAGGGCAACACTGATAGTTATCATAGAGTCCAACTTACTGTAGAAGGGTATTTATATAGGGAAGCATTGCCAGGTTGGATCTCAGCCACTGATTGCATGTCAGCATCTCTTGAGTTCACTAGCCGCAAATAAAGCTCGGCTTTGCCAACCTGAGAAATTAAAGTTTTGTCTGGTTAGAACAATCAAATGAATGCAAACAGGATAAGTTGAGTAAATATAAGTTGGTATCTGGCCAAAGATTGGGTGTTCTAAGAATGTATAATCAATTTGAGAATCAAGTGGTAGAATGGATTAGATCTGGCAGAGAATCAATCTAAAATCACAAATAAACACAATAAATAAATATTAAGAGGCTAGCTTTGAACAACTACTGGAGTACCTTTTTTATAAATAATAATTGTTTGGGTAAAAGGGCTGTTGGTCTGTCCTGCTCCTTCTTACCTGAGGCACACCATTCATCTGTTCTTCAGTAAGGCTTGGCTTTATAGGAAGCACTCGGATAGGAACTTTCCAGTGCCCACTCATCACTTGGTGCAGATGGTCAAAAATGTTGATTTTGGCCCATCCTCTGGAGGTCAAATTCTGGATTTCCTGCCTATAAACATTAAAACCTCCAGAGGCTTGAAGCTCAGCTACCAGGCTGATGGAGGTTGAAGGAAGGATCCTGAAAAACAGAGAGAGGAAATCCACAGTAATATGGCTACTTTTTGATTAAGGATCAAATGTATGCATGTTCCATAATGCGCTGTAGAATAGACTTTTAAGATAATACACATTTAGTGTAAAGTTACCTCCTAAATAAGAGGCAGAATCTGGCAAACCTGAAACTGGATGGAAAGAAGCCATCTCATGCAGATTTGAGATTATATTGTTCCTAGTGCAAACAGGCTAAGATTTTCAAAAGGTCTTAGAATAAATCTAACATGCTAAGATAATACTGTAAGATATACTGGACACTCCATGGTACCTTATGAGTAGCCATGGAACAGAAATGACAGCAGTTGACATTCTGTTGGAGGTATATAAATATTAAACAGTGATACTATATTATTCTAAGAGCTCAATATCTTACTTTGACAACCTTTAATGTCTAAATACAATAGCAGCTCATGATGATTGGCTTACTTTGTACAGCTACTAAGAAAATAATATTTTAAAACTTGCTATTGCATTTGTTTTGACTGTTCTAGAATATATAAATAATTTATACAGTTACAAAACCATAGTAAAGCTGCCAACTGTGAATGGTTGCCCACACAATGATTTGCGCGTTAGAAGAGGTGAGACATTGTAGAAATAGCCTGGAAGCTCTCACCTTGGGACTGGCTGTCTAGCTGCTAAGATGGCACAGCACCCTCTTTGCCTATCCATCAGAGACTGTGGAGAGTGGCCCATATCAGAGGAGACAATAGGCAGAGGTGTGGACTTCCCCAGCTGCTGCCCATTACGACACAAGCCAGAGACCAGGCGAACATGGTAGAACATAGGATCCAGCCCCAAAAGAAAATCATAGAATATTACAAAACCAGATCTGCAGAGAAAGAATAGAATTAGTTACATTCATAGTACTCTGTGCTGCTACTTTCTCTGTAGAGTTGGATGGGAACTGTAATATTGATCAAAATCACTATATGCTTGGAAGGAGAAGGAAAAGAATAGAAAGATGTATATGTTTACTTTATGTGACAGTGGCCGCTTGATTTTTTTAAACAAATATTTTATGCAGCAGTAAAGTCTAACAGCAACTTATTTAGAAAGGACTGTGTGTCTGTACACATGCATGACTGCCCTTGGGCCTAAATATCATAGGTTATTGTACTACATACACTGGATCATATGGAGCTGGTCCTAGTGCATCAGAGGGATCCAGAAAGTATTGGGTTGTAGCTGTAGCACGTGATCCCATGGGATCCTATAAAAAAGAAGACATTGATAATTTTATCAGCAAAATCCAACTAATTCTTTAACAGCATAACCTAAACAAACAGTAGCCACCAAGAATGTCTTCTTCCAACATGCTGCCATCTGGAAAGATTAAATGGCAGACAAATTGTGGTGGTAAAAGGTAACCCCCCCCCCGCATATACTTGTGAGATGCATTCACTACCAGACCTATGAGATTCCCCCCATCCATACATGTGAGCTGCTTAAAGTGCCCTTGTAAGAAAATATTTGCAGCAAGCCATGTCCTTTCAGCCCCTGCACATGTGAGCAGAAATTTTAATTTTATTTTCTGTGTTTTACTGTTTCAGGCTAATTTATGGCACTTCCACCTAGGGCTTTAGCAGCACTGTCGCCCAAGCACCAAAACCCTGTGATCTTATGCTGCCATTCTCCTTGGGCAACCAAACTATTTTTCTCACGGCTTGGATGCAGCACAGCTCAAATGGCAAAATGTTTGTTTCCTGATTTGCAGTGCCAGAATTCAGCTGGGCTTGAGGACAGGCTGTTTTCCAATTTGGGAAAATTCTCGCCTCCTGAAATCTGAGCTTGGAGCTCCATAGCAGCCTTCACAGGCAGCCTTATCCTCAAAACCAGTCCTAATCAGTTTCACAGTGCCTTTAAACACTGCCTGCCTGATTTTTCCCTGATGATCTAACATCAATCGCTTCTCACCTCACCTCACCTCACACCTCACCTCACCCCTCACCTCACCTCACCTCACACCTCACCTCACCTCACCTCACCCCTCACCTCACCTCACCCCTCACCCCTCACCTCTCACCCCTCACCCCTCACCCCTCACCTCACCTCCTCACCTCACCTCACCTCACACCTCACCTCCCCTCACCTCACCCCTCACCTCACCTCACCCCTCACCCCTCACCTCTCACCCCTCACCCCTCACCCCTCACCTCACCTCCTCACCTCACCTCACCTCACACCTCACACCTCTCACCTCACCTCACCTCACCTCACCTCACCTCACCTCACACCTCACACCCCTCACCTCACACCTCACCTCACCTCACACCTCACACCCCTCACCTCACACCTCACCTCA